CACAGCCAACAGTTCGAGAAATTGTAATGTCCAACGGGCTTGGCTTGCTTTCCGGCTTTGGGGCCTGGAACCTACAGGCTTCAATTTAGAAGTCTTTGCCCCATCTCAAAATATAGATATAGGATGGGCCAAAAAAAAACATAGACAGCATGGACCAATAAAATAATATTGACGACAAAAAAAGAAATCCGCAATGATGATGATGCTGAAGACATACGACGTAATCAATTTAGCACATAAAATGACACACGAGAGTTAAGATCACTTTGCGACATACAAGAAAAAAGATGGATGTGCCTGCGAGTATTTGTTTAAGGTATTCATTTTTTAAAAATATTAATATTTAGTTTAGGAATTAAATTAAATTAAATTATTTTTCTAACGTAAGACTCAATAAAACGAAATAAAATTACTTTTCTTTTGAAGAAGAGAAGACTAATTCCTAATTCAAAAGTTGATCGACCAAATAAAAAGTTTTAAATATGAAAATCCATTTAGAAATATTTTTCAGAAAACACCCCATTCCACTCTTTTATTTTTCTTCTTTTTTATTTTTATTTGATTACCCATTTAAATGTTTAAAATAAAATTTATTGTTTATAATTATATTTTTACATTCATCCTATTTTAAAGTATTTTATACATATATCACTAAAAAAACAATAGATGTTTAATATAAACAAAGCAATATGTGGCAAATTAGAAACGCATAATATCTCATATTAACAGCTTAAGGTCACTCACTATATTACAGGACCTTATTTTTACCCCATCATTTGCATAAAATTTCTTATAAATAGAATGTGAAATTACTTTATATTAAAGTATATATAATACTTTAATATAAATATTTTTTATTATTAGCAAGCACAAATTTAAATATTAGAATGTCTTTTCAAGTATATCACTTCTTATCATTATCAACAACATACCTATAAGTGTAATAGTAACTATTTTCTAAACCTCATTGGAATTAACTTCTTTATTTAATTGTATATTGTATCCATATTTCATATATTACAATTAAGAAGCACTATATCAATATGCCTTCCTATACCGTATCCATTTAAATATTTATTTATTTGAAAACCCTAACACACTTTCAAGTCCTTTTCTTAAATACTGTTTAAATAGCTGGTGTATATATTTTGAAACTATTCATAATTTTTTGCATTACATATTCTTGGAGTAATTTTTGGAATTATAAATAACAAAATAAAAATTATATATATTTTTAATAAAAAAAACATGCATAACGAACGATAAACTTGGAACATCATGAGATAATTAGCACCTGAACTTTTGAGATTGGCAATATTTGATAATGTGGTCCTTTTTTGTTTTACATGTAGTACCAATGCTTCTTACTGAACAACCAGAAAACTTTATAGGGTATCCTCGAGGTAGTTGTTCGATAAAGGGTTTTGATATGTTGAGAAAGACGTACAGGGTACAGCTGTTTGCATTTCGATCATAAAATGTATTTGCATGCATGCTCTGTGTTTGGCCAAACAATTCCAGCCCCTCATAAATAACGAAGACTATTTTTCACATTGATAGTAGTGGTACAATGCTGGTGGTTTTGCATTAATATCTCAGAAGTACATGTAAATCTTCAGGCCAGGAATCAATTATTCATTAGAATTGATCTTTTCCGTTTTGAAGACCTACCTATTAGGAGTTACAGGACCATTGCTTAGTTGAAACAGCCCTTCTTTCCATTTCTTTTCTGCATGCAAATATTTATTCTTGAAACGTCCATTTAACACCGATCCACCAATTGTAATATGGATTGGCTGCTGTTTTGTTTTATTTAGTTTTTGTGGTTTTGATTTCTTAATTAGGCATTCTTATTTATACCCTTTTATCAATATTCCTGCTGTAGTTGAAGCCATAGGTACTTGATCTCAAATACATGTACGACTAACTGTGATAAGTTTTTTTAACAATTAAAGGGTGGAGTTCGATCATCTTTATTACCACTTAGCGTCGGAGAATAGATAAACTAGGATTGTAATCTACTACTTAGTGCTCCCTCTGTCAATAAACTTCTACATAAACCTTACATTTTTTGTGACCCGAACTCCAGTTCAATAGAATTTAAATGCACTTTTTGTCATATTTTTTATTATTTAATAAAATTTTAACAAAATATCATTAAATTATTTGTAAAATTAATTAAATAACGAGTACCTGCGTAATCATAAATTAGGAAATCTTATACAGACCAGACATGGGTTTTCTTTATAAACTTAAACTTTTATATAATTAAATTGGACGTAGTTAATATACGTTGAGATATATTTTGGACGCGGACCTTGACCGTTTATCGTCCCTTTCTTTCCTAAATGATAGGTTATCGAATATATCGAATTTTGTTTGGTTTTTTAATCAACACTATATTGACTCAGAGTAGATAATAAAATTCGGTTGCTGATGTACCTGTTTTGAAAAGGCCCAACCAATAATACCCTACATATGGAGAAATGGTGTGCGCACAGTCTCATATACTATATGTGTATATCTCCCTCTTGGCCAACAATAATAATAATAATATTAAAGTGTATATCTCCCTCGATACAATAACCTTTTTTTAATTGTTCCGAGTGGCAAATACCTAAATTAATTTTTAAATAAGGAAAGTTTAGACAAAAAAAAAAAAGAAGACCATGGCAACTGTTTATTTGTTGAAAGTATTAACATAACTTATTTTCAACGTAACAGGGAAAGCACTAGCCTGTAGATTTTAATCAAGCTGCATAACACAGAATAGATGCCTCGCGTTTTGGTTGCTATATCCTATGAACAGTGCTTTTTTAGTTACGGTTCAAGCTTGGAGTCAAATTATGTTGTGGAGGTCAGACGAAATATATATAATATAAAAGACAACTCGAGTGTTTTTTTTTTCCCTTTATCTTTTATATTTATATAAGTAAACTCTGTACGATTATCACTATTTGCATGTAACTTTTCAATAACTTAAAAATATTGCTTATTTAAATTATTGAATATGTTAGAAAAATACAAAATTGGAAAAGTTGCGAGATGCCCATGTCAATCCGTATTCTCTCCACTTTTGACTTAGCTGTCGAGTAATATTATTTTTACATCATTTTTGCATGATTTTACCTATCTAGTCTCACATTTTCCTTTTTTTTTCTTTCTATTTTATCTCTCTTTTTGTTGCAAAAGATATTTTGTAAAGATAACATTAATCTTAGCCGTTTATGGGGTTTCTATAAAAAGCAGAGAGAAAAATCATGAAAACCATAATGGACCTAAATCTGTGTCACGGGTCAAAAATCAAAGCGCGAATTGAGTTTCAGATTGAACATATAAGAGAAGAGCACGTACTGAAAAAAAAAAGGAGAAGAAGAGCATGCATGCATGTAGTGCAGATGATAATTGGCACAATCAGTAGACGATTATGGATTTATAGCCAAGAAACAAATTTGCTTTCCAATTTAATTCTGATCGACTAAGTTGGCTTGATTGACGGATCGAGTAGTGAGTCAAAATTGTGACAAATGCATATTTCATTGCACTCATTTTTCAACTGCTAATAATCAATGGCAATTTGAAAATATACTTTCTGTGTGTTAAATGATTATTCCATCTATTTGATATTGTATGCTATTTTAGATAGTTAAATTTATCTCAAAATATTTTTGATTTGAAAAACTAGTATACTCGAAGTTAGAAAACATTTTGCAGGGCCAAAATGATGTTATATGTTGGAAGCTATAAATGCATTATCATAACTCATAGTAGTTGTGGGTTTCAAAATCATACCGATGATTGAAATGAAAATGTAAGGAGAAAAGTGATTAGACGGTACGTTCATGGGATGCACAAAACGGTGGTCATTTTCAGTTATCAATCTGCTAAGCTCAAAAGCTAATTGGACATTGGGCAAGAACAGTGACACATTGGCTTTGTGTGTGTTAATAACTTGAATATCATTATCATGATTCATGATCGATCAAACCCACCCAAAAGCCCCAGCGCAAAGAGCCTAAACAGTCACCCTATTCCCGTGCACCACTCTCCCCATGTGAAGTTTCACAACCAAACAAGATAGGGGCACCTCCGTCATTTTACTCCCAACACCATCGTGTCCGTCAATTTTGTACGCTCCTCTTCCTGCTGTGCCTCGCACGATCTTACTTTCCCATGGCTTTGATCCAATTTGTTAATTTGAATTTCACATTTCGTTGTCGATGTAGCTTTGAAGCTGCTGGTTATATAATTTCACTTATATATATAGGAGGTTCTTTTTTAATCTTCCCTTTCAATTCAGCATTTTGTAATTCGCAGGTTGCTTCAAGTGTTTTTGGTTTCAAAGTTTGACTGGTAGGAAATAGCATCTCTAATTTTCACATCACGATGAATGATTGCGTTATATAATTTCACTTAAGTCCACCTTATATTGATTAAGCTAGATCGATCAGACATTGCTTTATTTTGGAAAATGTCATGTTATGTCGTGTTCGAGTTCAACACCAGCTGTTGTCGCGTTAATTTCAATTATGTTTAGCGTGTCTACGAGAAATTTTTCAGCCGCGAGTCATGAAATAGAGAAAGAAAAATATCCATCAAGACCATGGATAGTTATAGAAATGTAAATGGTATTACTATTTGTTAAACAATTTTCATTTACTTTACACTAACTTTTAAACTTCTTAATTAATCTTTAAAATGTTTAGATATCGTATTGAATAAACAAAAAGAAATTGTATGGTAAAAAGTGAAAAAAAAAAAAAATCCTTGCAAGAGTTAGCTTGCCCCAGCGCGTTGTCATGTGTGAAACATGCCATCTATAATTAATTGCATGCTGGGCTTTTAACGTAGAAAGAGTAACTTTTGCCCTTTAAAGTTTGAAACCTTTACGAATCCGCGGGGGCACTTACGTAAAATCGCGTGGCGAGTCCCTTTAACGTCTGGTGAAGCTTATAAATGTCGGAGACACTGAGAGAGCAAAAACGGCTTTCAGTGTGTAAGAACTGTGAATGGACCATCAACAACCACCGTCACCGTGCCCCGAAGATGACGTAACCACCGTAACAGAAAAATCCGATAAGAGGAGGGGAGGCACGCGCCACCCCGTGTACCGTGGGGTACGGAAGCGGCGTTGGGGCAAATGGGTGTCAGAAATTCGGGAGCCACGGAAGAAATCGCGCATATGGTTGGGGTCGTTTCCGGTGCCGGAGATGGCGGCGAGAGCATACGACGTCGCAGCGTACTGCCTCAAAGGTCGAAAAGCGCAGCTCAACTTTCCCGACGAGGTGGATCACCTGTCGCTTCCGTCGACCTGCACGGCCAGAGACATTCAAGCGGCCGCGGCCAAGGCGGCGCATATGATGAAAGCTTCGCCTGATGAGAAGAGTGGCATTTCGTCCGACGGAGACAGCGCCGGCGACGATTTTTGGGGCGAGATTGAGTTGCCGGAGCTGATGGGCGGCGAGTCTTGCTGGAGTTCTCCCGGCGGTTCTTCGTGGAATTCGGCCGGCGACATCTCGGCGTGGCCGGAGGTTGAGCTTTTGCCGCAGCAACCGTTCATGGCGTGTCTATAATCTATATCTGTATTAATGCTGCTCAGTGGTTGGTATGTTTCTTATATATAAATGTGTTATTTCATATGTGCCAACTGTTTGTGTTGTCATAAATAATAATTTAGTATCTTTCTTTCAAAGTTATCTCTCTGTTACGACTTAACTACTCCCCTGTGTTGCTTAACGGAAAATAATAGATTCTTAAAGAGTTTTGCGCTTTTCAATTGGTTGGAATTCTGAGTATACGAAACTCGATCACATTAACTAATCATGTAAATTTATTGATTTTGTTAATTTTAGGCTGAGTTCAATTCTCTAACAATGATAAAAATTTTAAATAAATATATTTGTTGTATTAAGGTTATAAAAATATAATAAATATTTTTTAAAATGATTTGTTATTTCTGAAACTTAGAATTTTAAAAAAAGTTAATGCTTTTCTTAATTTATATATACTTATTATTTGTTCAACTTTGTATTTTGGGCGGGGGAATCATAAAAGCGGTGTTTAACTCAAAAGGCTCATGCGTCCATACATGTTTTCTCTTCTGTACTGCTGTTAATACCAGAGAGATGGCCCGGTTAAGGTCTATCAAAATTGAAAATGTGCTCACAAAAACTCGTTTATAAAACGAGTTTTATTTTTTGAATGATTTAAAATTAACATTGTATAATATTATTTTTAAATACTTTTAAAATATAAAAAAAATACCTAAAAATATATATTTTTAATCCTACATCAAACATTTCCCTGATAATGCCTGCATTTCTCCGTTTTCCGTACCGCTGGTTGGATGCTTAGGCGCTTCCATTAATTATCGAACTTTTTACTTAAAAATTGAAATTAAAAAAATATGAAGAATGATTTACGTTAAAAACATTTGGATTCATACTCTGCTTCAAAGTTAGCAATAACTCTGTACGACGGAGTGCAAACAAAAGAGAAATAATCTGCAGTAGAAGTGATGAGAGGGATATTTGTAGAACCTTTGAGGAGGTTAAAGATTTCTCTAAAAGTAGACCATATGACCATATATATCTAACTTTTGCTTTAGGAATTCAAGTAAAAGCTAGCCTTCTCTCCCGCGACTCGCGTGCAACTTAACGTACGTAACCGATCGACCAAATTGCTACCAAATCTTCTCAAAACCTTTTTTTAACTTCTTTAAAGTGAATGAGTCTGTTTCAGAGAAGCAGATATACAGTCATGGATTGAAAAAAAAAACATTTGTTATTAATTTTCTATTTGTTTATTATAACTAGTAATTTTTCCATGTACTATGTGAGTATTATTAAGTTAAATTTTTATATAATAAATATTTTCAAGACTAACTTTAAGAAATATATAAATTTTTTAATTAAAAAATATATAAAATTTAAATTAAAAATATAAATACTCAATATATTAAAAAAATCATAAAAAAGGAGCCAGATTAAATTTGAATGATGACCTCCCTTAAGTCAGATTGAGCACGTCATTTTGTCATGCGTATTTCGTACAGCCGTGCACTGATTTTGTGTATAATCTATTGAAATTCTTACAAATAATCACAATATATCCTAGTTAAACCCGAGAGTTTTTTACTTTTTGGGTAATTTTTTCATAAAATTATTAAATTAGCGTGTTTTGTAAACAACGAAAAACTAAAAGTACAATAACTCATACTTTTAGAATAATTTTTTTAATATTTATATAATTTTATATAAATATTACCTTCTAAATTTACTCGTAAATTTATAACGATTCAAACTTTAATAATTTTGAAGTTATATTCTTAAAGTATTTTTTAATTAAAAGTATTTTAATGTTTGGTATGGTACTTTTAAATTTAATACGATATTAAACATTCTTTTTAAATTATACTAAAATATGAAAAAGTATTTATATTTTTTATAAATAAAATAATTTTTCATTTGAATAGAATTTACCGAGTATTCTATTCTACTTTCACGCTATCCTAAGAATCAATGACTCAATCATCGTGCCCCATGGCTGTCTCAGATTCCGTTGCGTGTCAAGCCTGTGCCATTCACATATTAAATTAACAGCGACGGCGATTTTCGACATTTTTGCTTTTTATTTTTTTAGAATAAATTACAAGCAATTGACCTTTTACTCGCTCTTTCCTTATGTTTATTTGTCTTTAACCCAATGTAATGCCAGTAGACAAATATAACACTTGATCAGGACATTTCGGATTTTGGAACAATGAGGTGAACATGGGTGACTGATTTTTTTGGCACTAAGGTCGATCAATCAGCAATTAATCAATATATTTAGATGACTCGCGAACAAGACCCCAAATAAGAAATTTGTGTCCCTCCTCGAACTGTTCCTGTTCAAGAGGGAAAGCAGAACAGTAACCGAGCAAAATGAGGAAGAACTGAACTTTCTACTGCAGATGAAGCAGAACTGGTAGATAATAAAAGTTTTATACTAATAAATTAAAAAATAAATCAGTAGAAGGGTCTTGAAGCGCAGAACGACGTTTATAATTGTTACTAGTTTTTTACGTAAAAAAAGTGAGAGAATTATTGTCTGAGCTTTGACCTGTAATTTAGAATCAACTTGGGAGTGAACGATATGACGCAAGAGGAAGAATGGGACGGCGACAAGACAAAGCAAAAATTAAATAGTTTTGTATGGTACTACAAACGAACCCTTTCGATGCTCCATTTAGCACCACAAAATTCTAAACCGGAGTCAAACTTACCAGGGATATATATATACGGAGATGCACCCAAGTGAATAGTCTCATTGTTTTTAATTGGATTTAAAAACAAAAACATCGGCACGTGATTGTGACACTACCCTATACGCCTTTTTTTGTTCGGCTATGGTTTCATGGCATGCGTCATGACTCACTCATCCTGACTTCAAAAATGTCGTGGGTTGTCCTTAGAAATTGCCTGATTTTTTCTTTCCGGTGCCAAATAATAAATTATGCAAATTGACCGACAATTTTCTAAAAAACTCATAAGACTGTCAAAAATAATTTAAACTAAATATACATTAAATTTAGCTTGTTAAAGCCTTTGGAATAAAAAAAATGGGTTGTATTTTCATAACAGTAATGCGTACTACTTTAATACATTTTCGTAATACTCTGTCCAATATTCAATAAAAATAAAATAAAAGAGTAAATGTATAGCATTTTCAATTCAGAATTATAATTGGACCAACAATCTCTTTCGATTGTTAAACCTTTCCCTTTAATAAAATGGTGGATGGGACTTGTAATGGACAAAACACTTAGAATTTTGGTCTTCTATTTCTTGGATGTAGGTCAGAGAGGGATCTATAATGATATTGATCTTAAAATTATATTCTCCCTTCGGAGGACATTAAGGAATCAACCCACATTAATAATTTTCTTAGATGTCAGCTTAATAATTAGTTCGTTTTCGTGCGATATAAATTTGACATTTCACCTTTCTGTATTTTATTCCATAACTATATTTGTTACCTTCATATACTTTAAATGACAAGTACACATTACAAATGAAAACTTAATTACTATCTCTCATCGTTAATTAAAAAATATTCAATAATATTTTCAATATTTTTTATATAGTGAGTTACAATAATTCATATTTTTATGTTACAAATAATTTATTTATACATTAAATCATAGTGACTATAGCAGGAAAGATTCAGAGTTATAGAGCTGAGTCAAACCTCTGGGGAGTACACAAGCTATGCACGTGATTGGTCCCTCCACCCGATAGACGTTGTTCTGCTGGGAGATGGTCCCTTTATACACGCCACCACTGGGTCATCGTGACTTCAATATTACTGTGGTTAGCCATTAAAATTGTTATGTTTTGTCAAATGGATCCACAGTGATTTTCAATTTGTGGAATACTTCTATATACATGTACAGGTTTTATATATTTTTAAATGATAATGATTATTGTAGAGTTATTCTAATTTAATTCATAGTCTTTTCTTCAAATTGTGTGCTGTAGAACATACTTGTCATATAGGGAAAAATGATCATTGCTGTAATCAAGTTATTAATTAAATCATACATGTAAAAATTTATTCATTTTCAGCCACAAATTTTATGCAAAATATTTTACTAAATTTAGATAACACTTTCAAAAAACCTTACAAGAGGAAAATAACATAAATTAAGAAGGTAAAATAATTTAAGCTTTTCTTGTAATTGCATGTTAATTTATACAAATAAACATTTTACGATTTTTTTATGTAATTAAACTTAAAAATAAAGTTGTATAAATTAATTTTAATTTATAATAAATTTTTAATAAGTATTTGACGAAAAATTTTGTTCAAATTAACTCATTGTCTGGACCATTCATATTTTTTGGCAGTGGTGGATCCATCGTCCATCCACATTAATAAAAGTGCTTTTACATAGATCTTTTCCCCAGTTATCAAATCGAGATGTTGCTTTTGAAGGTCAAAAGACTAACAGTTTAGGTTTAAGGGAGATTTATGGTAATGTATGTCTGTCTTAACAATCGATCCCATCACAGAGCATGAAAAAATGAGCATACATTGATTACTCTCTAATGTAATTTTAACCCATAACAGGCCAACATAAAAATGTAGACCACCCTTAATCCTCGACAATTCTAACATTATTTGATTCTCAATTTGTTTATATTAAGAAAAAATGTTAATATTAATTTTCAATTTGTTTATGTTAAGGTAAATTTGTATATTATGAAAGCTCGAAATAACATCAATTAGTTACATCCCATAATAATAATAATAATAAAAGATGTTCATATATGTTTTTGCACAGTAAAATTTAGAGCCAACTGAATGTTTGTTTAAGCCCTAAACTGGAACTCTGAGATAAAGTATTTTAAAACTATAAAAGTGTTTTAAAATTATTATGATTTTATCTATTTTTTATTTTTTTTCGAGATGTAAATTACTCGTTAGGTTATTTTAAGCTTTTCGTTTAATATTTTTCTTCAATTAGTGGTACAACTAATTCATTCTAGATTTTTTTTACATAGTATTTATCTTATATGACATTTTATTAATTTTATTTTTAAACAACTTATTATTAGTATTCCATGGTGAATTTT